TGATAAACACATGTGGCCTATCTAGCCAATCACAAGTTATATGCATAACAAGGCAAAAAAGCAGCACAGACCACTTGAAATCTCTTTTCAGAAAACTTTAGCTAGTAATTTTAAGCTTTTTTTCCTTTTCAGTTGGAAACAAATGGCAGAAAGATAGATTGGCTTCCTTCCTGTCCCTGCCCTGTGAGGGATACCAATATATTGTGGAACTGTCAGAAGATGAAGGGAGATGGGATGACTTCTGTATTCGGCATAAGATTAAGAATAGGGGATAGTTTCTTGTACAGTTCTAGACAACTCCTGTTTAATGAGATGCTGAGTTCTTCCTGATATTCCTGAGATGCAGAAGCAAAAGCCCAATTCTGATATAAAATGCACATTTCCATCAAGACTTTTATAAGTAATGCCTTCTCCCAGTTTGCTGACACAGGGCTCAATTCCTCTCCGGCTAACTGAGGTTAAGGGAGGGTTCGTAGTCAGTGTGGGGACTGCCAAGACTTTGGCAGGCCTGGGGCAACTCGCCAGCCCAGGGCTTCATTCTCTGACTCAGCATTCAGTATGCTCAAGTCACTTCCTGAGTGGCCTGTTGGAAATCTGGCAAGTGATATGAACTACCTAATGAACTAGACAAAGGTTCGGGTGCCTAATAGAGAAAAAGGATTGCAGAGATCCAGTCAAAAGCAGTAGGATGTTGGCAGAGCGGCATATAATTGCTAAATTTAGTATTAAGGGTTCTGACCAGGAGCAGGCAAGGGTAAAAATCCAGAGAGAAAAATCATCCTGGGGATTTTTTTCAGTCAGCATATGCTGGACACTGAAGAAAAGTCTAGAGTTCTTTGCATTACAGTTGCCTACCCTAGGATTTTTTTTTTTTTTTTAAGATGGGGTTTCACCATGATGGCCAGGCTGGTCTTGAACTCCTGACCTCAGGTGATCCACCCACCTCGGCCTCCCAAAGTGCTAGGATTACAGGCATGAGCCACCGCGCCCGGCCTACCCTAGGATTTAAATGATGCAGCAAAAGAGTAACAGTGGCTGCCAAATTGTCCTTAAGAGACTCTAATTAGACTGTAAGTTCGTGGAGGGCAGGAGCTGGGTCTCCATCTCGGCCCCAGTGTAAATGGGCACTTCCTGCTCTTTGATGAGCCCACCCAGCTCATGAGTGATAAAGGCAAGGTGTCTGCTGTGGCAGAGCTCACCAGTTTCGCTTAGTTTTCCCTCTGAAGTTGGGGAGGTAAGAGGTTTTTTTTTTTTTAAGCCAAAGTAACAGAATCTGTGAAGTTACATCTCCAGGCCTCTGCAAAGGATCCAGATCAAGTCAGTACTTTCCTTTGAGTGAGTTTATTATAAGCCATTCTGAGACAGGAACCAACCCTGACAGTCTCCAGGTACCCTTGATTTCATTAGAAAGATGGAAATCTCACATCTGGAAGACAAGAGACGCCTAGTGACACTTTGTCTTAGTTTCTTTGGGTAAATAGTGAAATCCTGTCCCAACATCTAAGCAAAGATTTAGTTCTCTGAAAAAGTGAGCTGAAGATGAGTTTTTAAGCTAATAGCCTGTCACAGGGTCATGACTTCTGAGCATAAGCTATAAGGGTGGGTACATGGCAACCTGATGTTGTGGCCTTGCAAATTCAGCCTGTTTCTCATCTCTGCACAGTCCCAACAGCCTGTGGTCAATCACAGAATCAGCTTGTTGGACAAGAACTGGGATTTGCTCCATCCGAGGCCTGGCCCTTCTGAGAACCTAGTTATCCTATTTCTCCTACAAATGTCTCTCTCAGCAAGTCCTCAACTGCTAACCAGTGACCATTTTTCTCCCAACTCACAGCTCCTCTAGCAGAGTAGCTCAAGGTCGGGATGCTTTTCTCTCCAGTCTCATTGTAGGGCTCATTTACAGGTCAAAGTACCTCCTTCCCTGGATGCAGGGCTGGCGTGCAGTTCTATCTGGGACAACCAGGACTGCATGATGCAAGGAAAGGCAAATTCATGATTCACATGGGATAGTGAAGAAGAGGTAAGCCAGGAGCAAACATGTAAACAACTACAGCCTTCTCATTTTTGGCATTGTTATATTTCTATCTGCAAGTAAAATTTAATGTTAGAAAAACAAAGCACTAAGTCGTACTTTACATTATGTAAAGTCCAGAGTACTCTTATTTTTATTTTTTAGACAGTCTTACTCTGTTGACCAGGCTGGAGTGCAGTGGCATAATCTTGTCTCACTGCAATCTCTGCCTCCTGGGTTCAAGTGATTCTCCTGCTTCAGCCTCCTGACTAGCTGGGATTACAGGCACCTCCCATCACGCCCAGCTAATTTTTGTATTTTTAGTAGAGATGGGGTTTCCCCATGTTGGCTAGACTGGTCTCGAACTCCTGATCTCTAGTGAACTGCCTGCCTCAGCCTCCCAAAGTGCTAGGATTACAGGTGTTAGCCACCGTGCCTGGCCTGGAGTACTCTTTAAAAAAAAAAACACTATTAAATCATTTGATTAGCTTAAATCAGCACATATAAGCAGGGCACAACTTGCTAAATCAAGTCCCCTGCAGGGCTCATGTTTCAAGACTTTCTAATAAAGCTCAATTGGAGGCAGTCCTCCAGGGTGACAAGAGAGGACTAGAGGAAGAAGGCAGAACACAGCCCCACTGACCCTCAGGCTGTATCCTTCCTGGAACATGGAATCCTATGATGGGCAGCAATTGGCCCCATTATCTACAGATTATTTCTTCCCAAAAGAAAAGGTAACAATTATTTTAACAACTGGAGGATGGTGGGGGTGACCACACCCTGTGACAAGACAGAAACTTCTCCCTAGAAGCACAGGTACCTTTGGGGATCTTAACATTCTGCTGGTAAAGAATCCACCTCAGGAGCCGTCCATCAAACCAGCAGAGCAGACCACTGCCCAGTGTTTCAAGGCTCCAGTTGGCCCATTCAGGAACAAACACGACCTAATTTCCTCTCTGGTTTAGTCCAAGGCTTTGGGACTGATGGTGGGAGAAACAGAGCAAATGATGGGTGACAACTACTGCTCAGGGAGCAAACAGCCATGGTGCCAATGCCATGTGGTGGTCTAAATTCTGCACACTACAGACTTAGCACATGACCCATGAGCTTGCCTGCTCAATTACCTTCATGAGTAGGCAAGGGGGATGGGGACTGTCTGAGCACAGGAACTGACCATCAGAGGAGGAAAGAGGGGCTTAAACTTCTTTCTAGGAGGGGCATGTACAAGCCTGGGCAGTCAAACTCACAGCAGAGCAGCTACAGAGGGGTTAAGTGGCGAGGTTTACCCCTTCAAGTGCGAGCTGGGGTACCTGCAACCTTCCTTCTTAGGGCTTTTTCTAGGTCTATGCTTTTTATCTCCAGTGGGATTGCTACAGGAAAGCAAACTGATGAATCCTGCAATCAGAGCTGATGATTTGGGGGATGGTCTTGAACCATCTGGACTTAAAGTCACACCCGAGAAGAGGAGGGCATGGAGTGCTTGATATTTCACACAGAAATTTTACATCTTCTAAGGCTGAGGTTGACTTTCACATTCAAACAAAAATGTGAAAAAGAATCGTGACTCTCCTATATGTAATATTATACCTAAATAAAAGTAACTCCGAAAGCCTTTGTTTCCTGGCTCATTTTGGGTAAATTTTTAATTATTTAAGGTCAATTTAACCAAATAATAAATATCTACATAGCCTCTCATTCCCTGGCCCAAGAGCTAGTGACAGCATTTCCCCCCATTACACAAATAAAAATGTAAACAAAATTTCAAAGGAAAAAAGAAAATAAAAGAATGTTGAAAAGAAATACAAATCAAAGAAATTTATTGGTGTTGACAAAAATACATAATACAGAAACCAAACCAAAACACAACAGAAACAAAACCAGAAACCCCACCCTAGTGGGCCCATGTGCCTGATGTACTGACAGTGTGCAGACCCAGAAGCCCGCAAAGCATGGCACTTAATTCATGAGGACCTCCATCTGCACCAGCCTTGCATTGGTGTCCCCAGACGTTCGGTAGGGTATCATTCCAGCAAAGGTAATCAGGGTTCGGGCTTGACTGCGGAGTTGCTGAGAGAGAAGGGAAGAAAGGAAAGGAAATCGGTTAACTTTCAAGTCAGGGCACTGTTTCATGTTCTTCCATCCTCTACCCTGGGGTGTCAGGGACAGATCCCTGGTGGGTGGATGACAGTTGTACCCTCCTCTGTCATATTCCTTCAGCATGACACAAAGTTAGCAAAGCTCATCTCCAGAGGCCCCTGTTCCACAGGCATCCAAACCCATCTAACTCAGCAAAAGGCAGATGGGTTTGCAGGCAAGCCGCCTCACCCCAACACATTTGGCTCGCTTTTGACACAGCCCTGAGCTTCAGAACTGCCTGCTCCAATTTTCTGAGCCTCTCCCTCTCTGGCTGGTTTCTGTCCATCTGCTTCTACAGGGATCTGAGTCTCCAGAGCTCCATGAAGCCCCTGTAACACTGAAGTCAAGGGCTGTGACTGTGCAGTCCCAATCTGGCTCTCTTCCTCCTGTGTCTTTCCTCTTCCTTCCTTTCATTCCTCCCATCCTCCCTTCCCAACACACACTCTTGGCCTTTCTTTCCCCAGGCAACAGTATTTATGGAATTCCTGGATTGTTCCAGGAGGCGAAAAGGTGGTCCTACAAATTTAAACTATATCTGGACTAGAGAGGGAGAATCTATAGATATCTTTCTGGACTAGTAACAAGACTTTAAAGAAATACTCAATAATCATTTACTAGGCTTACTTAAGGACCATTCCAGAAGAAAATTGAAAAGCAAATGCTTTTTACCTGATGTGTGAAACAAACTAGTGACTATATGTCCTTATTAATGTCCAAATAAAAAGAAATACGACTTTGTGATGAGAATACTCATTGTATTTTCTTTTTTTTTTTGAGACGGAGTTTCGCTCTTGTTACCCAAGCTGGAGTGCAATGGTGCGATCTCGGCTCACCGCAACCTTCGCCTCCTGGGTTCAGGCAATTCTGCCTCAGCCTCCTGAGTAGCTGGGATTACAGGCACGCGCCACCATGCCCAGCTAATTTTCTGTATTTTTGGTAGAGACGGGGTTTCACCATGTTGACCAGGATGGTCTCGATCTCTTGGCCTCGTGATCCACCCGCCTCGGCCTCCCAAAGTGCTGGGATTACAGGCGTGAGCCACCGCGCCCGGCTTGTATTTTCTTTAGAAGTAAATAAAAGTGCATGAGCTCTTGTTAAATGAGCTCTAGGAATTCACCCTCTTACTGGGCAGCATCTCACTTTAAACCATGAAACCAAGGACATCTGTGGGCTTGCAGATTTCTTGGGTATACAGCTTTTACATATAACCTTCTACTTAATCCTATCCATCCCTACCTTTCAGAAAAAGAAAGAAAAAGGAAAGCGGTGGGCAAAAGGAAGGAGAATGATCTTCAGATGTGGGACATGGCCTGCCAGGGCACCAGCTCTTCTCTGTGGGCAAACCCTCCACTGAACTGTAAGCAGCACACAGAGCACCAAGAAGTATCCACCACCTCAGTACTCACATTCGCAAACATCACTGCACTGGGTTTCTATCACCAAAATGGAGTCCTGCCACGTGGTGGGCACCTAGACTCCTATCCGTCCAGGGGCGGGGGAAGAGCAGCAAATGCTGTGATGTGCACCTGGAAGGGCTGACAACTTCAGTGGACCACTCCTGAGCACTGTTACCCACATTCCTAAAGGTGGAAATTTCTGCCATCTTTCACTAAACACAAGTTTTGTCAACAATAATGCCTGTGAGGTCACAGTGGAAAGAGCTCACAGACATCCTTGGAGGCAGAAGACAGATTTTCAAGTCTTCTTGGCTGCCAAAAGCAGGTTTGATGTTAGACACTGAGCTCTTGAGAGTCTCAACAAAAATTAAGTGCAAAGGTTAAAGGAAAAGTAATTTTAAAAAACACCATTGTGAGGCCAGGCACGGTGGCTCACACCGATAATTCTAGCACTTTGGGAGGCTGGAGTTGTGGGGGATCTCTTGAGCTTAGGAGTTCAAAACCAGTCTGGGCTATGTGGCCAAACTCCGTGTCTATGAAAAGCACACAAATCAGCTGGGTATGTGGTGTGCACCTGTAGTCCTAGCTACTTGGGAGGCTGAAGTAGGACGATGGCTTGAGCACAGAAGGTGGAGGTTGCAGTGAGCTGAGATCATGTCACTGCATTCCAGCCTGGGTGACAGAGCCAGACCCTGCCTCAAAAAAGGAGGGGAAAAAAAAAAAAAGCAAACACCATTGGACTGTCCCCTTATGGTTTAATTGGATCAAAAAATACCTTTGCTCGTTTTTGTAATCAGACAACATATGCTGTGAGCCCCAGGGTTCCAGCTACCTGGATTCCACTTGACCCACGAACTGCTGGAGGTACCACAGGCAGCAGAAAGTGCACAGGTGTCAGAGAGCCCGAGCCTCCAGACATGGCCCCTTCGCCTGCCTACCACCTGGGGGAAGCTGCTTCTTTACTCCACAGCTCAGTTTCCTCAGTTGTGAGGGAGGACAAAATGCTGTCCTGGTTACCTTTCTAGGGTCACTGTGAGCACAGTGACAGGAGAAACAAGGGTTCACATTAATGTGTTGATCAAAAATAAAGTATGGTTTTAATAAAAGTATTCACTAATGAGCTCGGACTAACAAAATAAATTTATCTTTTAAAATATGCAGAAGTCCTTATGGAGTCAACTAGAAATTAGCATTCTTTTTGATCTATTAAAAGGTAAGATCTGCAGACCTAGCACATCTTTTTATTTTATTTTTTTTAAGCTTGAGAAGAGCAGCAATCCCTTTAATGTTTGATTTCCTCTGGGAGTCTCCTGACACGAGACTTATCCAGCTGCCAGGTACTAAGGAGAAAGGGCAATTTCAGATCATGTGGCCTCATTAGAGTACAAAGGATTCCAAACCAGAAAGGTGGTGCTCAGCAATGTTTCTCACGAACGATGGAATCTTACAGAGTCGCGGTCCTCAATGACTCGCTGGGGCCTGGATGACGAGGATGGACTTGTCCCCTTGAGTCTCTTAAACTGTGTGAACAAGATGTTCATGGTGGCAAGAAGCACTTCTGAGAGGTTGTGCCTGATCTACACAGAGAGAAACACAGAGTAAAGAAAAAGAACCACGCCTTTGGGGCCAACCACAGGTGGAGGGCGGGCTGCTCCAGGCAGGCCTGGTCGCATCACTCCTCACCATTGCCAGCTGGAGAGCCACGCAGTCACCCAAAAGGAGCTGATGACACTGAAACGTCAAGTGTGAGAAAAACCCCAAGCAAGGCTGCTCAGGTCAGGTGGTCATTGTTCCTGTTCCTTTACGCCATTTCTCCCTCAGTCAGGGGCAGCAAACCAAAAGCACACTGACATCTGGTCAGCATTAGGCTTGGACTGGCCAGCAGAGTGGCTGCCATTAAATAATCTGAACTTGAATGTCAGGAGGTACAGGTGCACACACTAGTTCTCCACAGTCCCTACCATTCCCCACTCTCTCAAACCTACTGGGCTGTTTCCACTGGATCTGCATGGCCCTACCAGAGTCCTTGGGAGCAGCTACAAGGGCAGGCCCTGGTGCACTACTTTAATCCCTGATGCAATGAAGGATGCATCCAAGGAAAGCTAGAAATAACAAAGGAGCAAGTGGCTAAGGGTAGAAGCCACAGCAGGTATAAAAAAGGAAGGTCAGCAAGGTGCAAGACCTTCTGAACTGTGTGTATCACAGTAGTCAACAACCCTCTTCATGTGCAGCACTGGCCTTACTTCCTTCTCTAAAACAGAAACTTTTTTTTTTTTGAGACAAATTCTCCCTTCATTGCCCAGGCTGGAGTGAAATGGTGCAATCTCAGTTCACTGCAGTCTACGCCTCCCAGATTCAAGCGATTCTTATGCCTCAGCCTCCTGAGTAGCTGGGACTACAGGTATGCACCACCATGCCTGGCTAATTTTTGTACTTTTTAGTAGAGATGCGGTTTTACCATGTTGGCCAGACTAGTCTTGAACTCCTGACCTCAGGTGATCCGTCCACCTTGGCCTCCCAAGATGCTGGGATTACAGGCGTGAGCCACCACACCAGGCCAGAGACATTTTATAAAAGGCATCTGCTCAATGAGGAACAATTTTAAACTGAAAGACCACTAGTGACATCCCAGAACCAGGCAGCTGGTTCTGGAGTCCATAATATCGAGAGCTGAGTCAAGTGTAGTCCTAGAGAAGAGTTTACCTGGGCCACACACTGGAATGACTGAGGGAAGTCTGGGCTGCAGCCCACATCAGGGAAAGCAGAATCTCTGGGGTCTGGCCATGTGGGTTTTAAAAAACTCTCCTCAAGATTCCAGCATGCAGCCCAGCTAAGCACCCTGGGCTAGACACTGGCAATGTGCTAGAAACCCGACCGATAGAGAGTGGCTTTGGGGCCTGTGGAGTGATAGCTTAGTCCATGGTCACTGCATGTGCTTCTTTAGACAAACAGATCAGGGAGGGCAAGGGTAGCAGTGAATCATGATGTGCTTCATTCACCTGATGGAACTACTTAAAGATGATCAGAGTTAAGCACTAAAATATCCTCTAGTACAAGTGGATAATAGAAGAATTAAACCAGACCTCACAGGATCAACCAGAAACTGGTTTCTCCCAAGAACATGTCAATCACTGAAGTGACTGTGTTTTTTGAATCAGGAATTCAGACAATAATCTGTTGGGGATGTAGACACTCACAGAAAAGCCAGGCCAAGGTATTTGAAAGGGAATCACTCTGAAAAACTCAGTCTGGATAGTTACTGTAACTAGAACTTTTAAAGCTGTCAGCTACAGGAAAAGAAAAAGCTTTTGGTGGAAGTGGGGAAAAAGGAGTTTCATAACTCAAGAAGAAAGAACTTACTTCATCGCTAAAATTTCTGAAGGCAGCCACTCTCTCTTCCACACTTTCCTGATTCAGAGGCACCAGCTTCAAGCGTTCAATTATCTGTTTAAAACAACCACCAGCCCCATATGACACAACCATCACAGTCACTTCATCTCTCTACATGTAAAGTCAGCACCTCACATACTCCAAAGGGCTTCTTCATAGGAAATGCCATTCCCCCTTGTACACACAAAGGCTTTGATTCTAACTAGCTAACTTAATTCTTATCCTCATTTTCTGACCCAATTTTTAAAATTCAGAGATCTTAAATTACTTTGAGAAACTTCTCTGTTTTCGATTAAAGGGAAAAAGAATAGGGAAAAAAAAAAAAAAAGCAACACAGAAAACACCTTTAAAGTCCCAGGACTGTACTTGTCCTTCATTTAACAAACATACTGGTGATAGCTCCTTTGTTTTAAGTAAATTCCATGCAGTGTTTTGGATTTTCAAGGGCATACACTAACTTGCAGTTCAAACGCCTTTCCTGAAACTTACATCAAAAGCTCTATCAATATGGCCACTATGATACTCGTCAAAAAAGGTGATCAAGTCCAAAAGAAGATAGAACGTAGAGTCCACAAATTTATTTGCGCTTATTCCTTGAGCCCTATACCTGAAAGACAAAAATAGGGTGGGGCGAGTGAGGGTGTTATCAGGAACTTCTGTGTAATCCATAACTGTGGAGTAGCATTTAAAAAGTGGTGGTTCATGCCTGTAATCTCAGTTACATGGGAGGCTGGGACGGAAGGATTGCTTGATGCCAGGAGTCAGAGACGAGACCAGCCTGGACAAACAGTGAGACCCCATCCCCACAAAAAATTAAAACTTAGCCAGGTGTGGTGGCACACACTTGTAGTCCTAGCTACTCAGGAGGCTGAGGTGGGAGGATTGCTTAAGTCCAGGAGTTTGGGGTTATAGTAAGCCATGATTGCATTACTGCATTCCACTCCAGCCTGGGTGATAGAGGGAGACACTGTCTCAACAAACAAACAAAAAATAAAAAGCATGAAAATCTCTTGAGCTCTCTGGGTAAAGTTAATTAAGAGTGTAAAATGGCGTTTATTTTGAAACAGCCAAGCACTGATAGTGGATTTGGTATGAATCCACTTAAAAGTACTCTACATGGAGCATGGTTCTCCAGCTTTGACCATCATCTCAGCAACTAATCTTCATGAAAGGCGGGAGGTCCCGATGGGAAAAAAAGCCCAGCGGCCATCACTGGGGTTGTTTGCTAGGTGGAGAAATCTCATTGACCAAAGAATGTTCTTTTGTGTTACCCCAGGAAAGCATCCCAAAACCAGTTTTCTCTGGGTCATTTTATTTGGAATATCTACAGCGAGTACAAAAAGTAATGCTGTTAGCCTCAGCCTGGGACATAAACTAGTTAAAAGTCTGATAATTCAGTTAACTCACTGGTGATCCAGGTAGTCTGAAATACTGGCCACACCTCTAAGAATCTCCCCCATCTAACCATCACTAGTTTTGCTCCTGAATGCCTTTGAGAGGGCTGATGAAAGTATACAACAATATATAGGTGAGCATAATGCTTAGAATTAAACTTCACGAGCATGATTAAAAGACTGAGATGCCCTTTCTTTTTTTTTTAAAGACGAGGTTTCACCATGTTGGTCAGGATGGTCTTGAACTCCCGACCTCAGGTAATCCGCCCGCCTTGGCCTCCAAAGTGCCTGGATTACAGGCGTGAGCCACCACGCCCGGCCTTGAGATGCCCTTTCATACTCATTTCTTTGGCAAAAATGTTAAGTCTGGTAGTACCAAGTGCTAATTCTGATGTGGGGACGAAGGAATTTACACAGTGCTGGTGGCATGGTGAGTTAGTAGAACCACTTTGGAAAGCTGTCTGCTGTCACCTAGTAAAGCTGAACATGCATTTGGGTGGGCATGGGTGGCCTGGCACTGACAGTAGCACCCTCAGGGTCCCATGGAGGCAGCTCCTGACTTACCGTTCGGCAATGGAGAGCGCCATGTTCTTCAGCCTCTCCTTGTTGGACTGCGGGGCACTGATCTGGGGGACGACAGGGCTCAGCAGTTTGTTCATCAGCTCCAGTACCTTGTCGGCATTCTGCTCAAGTTTTTAAAATTAAGGAAGCAATCGATAAAGTAATCCATAAAAGGAACCACTGTATAATGCCTACTGCCCACCAAAGAGATAGATCTGGGGTGATCAAAGTGTTGGTCTCAAACTCTTGGCCTCAAGTGAAGTGGCCGCCTTGGCCTCCCAAAGTGCTGAGATTACAGGTGTGAGCCCCCGCAGCTGGCCTATAGCCCTCTTTTTGCCTACTTTTCTCAGTTGATAAGGAGAGAATGTAATCTTGTTTAGGTCACAGAACCCTTAGCAGTTATCATATGTATTAGGTAGAAACACGTATTCTAGTCCTCTCAAAATGCCCAGCTGTGGTCTTATTTTCTTTTCTTTTCTTTTTTTTTTTTTTAGACGGAGTTTCACTCCTGTTACCCAGGCTGGAGTGCAATGGCGTGATCTTGGCTCACCGCAACCTCTGCTTCCTGGGTTCAGGCAATTCTCCTGCCTCAACCTCCTCAGTAGCTGGGATTAATTACAGGCACGCGCCACCATGCCCAGCTAATATTTTTTTTGTATTTTTAGTAGAGACGGGGTTTCACCATGTTGACCAGGATGGTCTCGATCTCCTGACCTCATGATCCACCCGCCTCGGCCTCCCAAAGTGCTGGGGGATTACAGGCTTGAGCCACCGCGCCCGGCCCTATGTGGTCTTATTTTCTTTCACTCCTTCCTGCACACGGATGTGGTCTTATTTTCTGACACCACTGCTCCCCAGTGTGTCTGTGGCTGCCACAAGGTCAGCATAATGCCATTTTCCACAGTGGCTTCACCATCAAAATGTGATGGATGCTAATTCTGCTGCCAAGTGAGGCAAGAGTTCATGCCTGCAGGACATCCTTTCAATACGCTGTTCTTGTTTGGCCAGAAATACCTTAATGAGCAGAAATAATTCTGTAAAATGGGAATTTTGTCCTGACTGGGCCACTAACTGTCTAAGCACTAGAGAAAATGCCTCTGCAGGGAGAGTGCCACCACAACACCACTGTCGAAGTGGCTGTGCATTTAATGCCGAAAGGCCGGCAGATCTGTGAAGTACAGAAGAGGGAAGAAGGCACACTTTACCTTGGCAAGGTCATACAGCTTTGCTGCCTCTTCAAATAGTCCCTTATTTTCTGCCACGGAAGCAACTTTGTTGATAATAGGCTTTGTGTCACTAGTAAATTTATCTATGACTCCAGGCTGACAAGACAAATTATGGAGGGGGAGGAAGAGAGAGACGGGTGCACAGAGCTATTATTTTAAACACAGAGAAGCAATTAGGATCCAAAAAATACTTCAACTAAAAATGCTTGCCCTGGGCAATGCATGTATTTCATCAGCTAGACTCTGGCTTTCTTGAAGATATAAGTCCTATTAAAACTATAAAAGAGATCAAGGAAACTACATGTGAAAGGGCAGACTTACTGGAAGCACAGAGGAGTCAGCAATAAGACATCTGGGCTTTCTAATTTTCCAAAATGACCCAGAGAGTCAGTGAAATCAATGATTTTAAATTTGCTGACGAGTAGGGACTAGGGAGAAAAATCAGGAGGCGTAGAGAAAATATCTGAAGGATTTTGGATTCGTGTTCTAAGACAGAAGACAAAAGCAACTCAGTGCTGAAAAAACACATGGCAAGTGGTAACAGGACATTTCTCTAAAAAATCACCATCACCACTCAACAGTAACTAAATGGTCAGGAGAGCATGAGAGAGGCCTTGGGCACCCTGGGAGAATGAAGGCAACTGCATAACATCTCTGCCTGGCCATTCTGCTTCTCCACTGGCACTGGGTTCTCAGAGCTGGACCAGGTTGAGGTGACTTGCCCTGCCACTCTGGAGGCGGCAGGGAATAAGGTCTTATCTATGTTTCCAGCTCTGTCAACTCATACACGCTGGGATCCTCCTGGCCCCAGTGTAGCCTGTTAAAGAAACTATGCAAAGTGCTCAGCACAGTGCCTTGTGATTATCATCACCCAATAAGCCTGGCCGCTGTCATCAGCACTGTCACTTGCCTTTCTTCTGAGGTAGGTGGTATGAGCAGTGTGAGCTCATCTACAGATTGCTGGGTCAAAACTACTCATTTTTACAAACGAGAAAAGTCAGTCCCTGAGGGACAAGTGACTTTCCAAAGACCACAGGGAGATTCAGGGTCAGGACTGGTATCTGACAACAGGAACTTTGACCCTCCTGCCATGACAATCAATGGGCAAAGTAAGTCTTGGGGATCCCTCAGGCTTCCAGGAGTCACTGTGGAGTTCAAAGCCCTTGGAAATTGCATTTTGAAGGAGGTCAGGTGCACTTGTAACTTTTGCATCTTGGGAGAATGGGTGCAGTAATCAATTTGTTTTTCTTGCGTGTTTTCTGAGCCAAGAATGGCAGAAACGTATAATAGCATTCTCAGCTCAAAAAACGACAGGCATGAACAAATGAATATTCTGAACATAATAAAATGCTATCTAATCACAAATTTACGTATTTTAAGGAGATGTAAGTGTGTGTAAAACCAAGGTAATAATCTGGGCCCATAATTTTCATTCAACTTTTTAAATTAAGCAACTCTGTTCAGATTTGCATTTTTCATACCTTAAATCTTAAAATCTAAGTGTATTCTTTTGATATTTATTAATCCCCAATGGCTAAAAACATTTCTGTAAGGATGCATTTAACCCACCTTTCTACTTCCGTCATTCTCTAGTTTCCCAAGAATCATATCGAACTGTGGAAGGAAAAAACTTTACTCAAATTACCGGACAAAGATATAAACATAATCCATAAGTCTTCAGAGAGAAAAGAGGGGAATAAAATGGGATGAATGGGATAAGTCTTACGGAACTAAAAATCAGTGTGACTGAAATAAATATTTTCATTGTTAGAAACCAAAGAAAATTCCAAAAACCCTTTAGGCCTTATCCACCACAGCCATATTGAAGAAAACAAGCAGTATGGAATTAGCATGGGAACATGCACACTGAAAGCCATGGGGAGGAGAGAAAAGGAAACCCACTCACCTCTCGGCTTTCAATCACAAGCTCACTCACACAGCGCAGAAACATGTTTTCTCCTTGACTATCTTTTTCATCTCTATAAGGGAAAAAAACAACTCAGTTTCTAGTCTGGACATGAGATCTCTAACAGTCATTCTCAGAATGGCAGAAATCAAAACTAGCTGAAGTAAATGTTCAAAAGCAAATGTTACCTGAGGAAATAGAAGTACTGAAGGGCCTCCCTTGGGTCCGTGGACTCAAACTTCCGGGTGTAGAGCATGAGGAGCCGCACAAAGTTCAGCCGCCGCATGCAAGGAGGGTCACCAGGCTCGTGGCTGACTGCATTGTGGGGGTCAGAATGGGTCACACCACACTGCCCCACTGACCCATGCAACCCAGAAACTATGGAAGCTGAATCCACAGACCCAGCAGCATCTACTCCTATAGCCCAGTCAGTGTTTGCCAATATAAGCTTTGGCCAGTCCCTTTTACCACCCCGCCCTCAATTCCTCTCCAGGCCCAGAGTGGAGAAAATAGCACTTTGCCATAAATTACTAATATGTTGGTCTTTGAATGAAAAGATAATCCAACTGACCATTATGGCATGTGCTCTGGGATGATTTTCCTGCACCAATAAGGAACCCACAGCCATTCATCCACATTTACTTCCTCTGTCTCTCCTGACTCTCTCATCCCAGGCAGGTAGGCACATGGCTGGCTGGGGTTTCCAATGTCATTAAAGCAAGGGCCCTAATGGGAATCAGACCCATGACTCTAGGGACTGTTCTTCTGCACTATTTTCCACGCAATCAGACTGGCCACAAAGCTAGCACTTTGAACAGCACTATATATAGTTAAATTCCAAGGGAAAACTAATGCGGGGGGAAAGCAAGAACCCTAACACTAATCATTTAAAATGCTCAGCTGTCCACAATGCTCTAAAATGACTGCTACCCTTTGCTCAAATCCTTATTGGTTGTGGTTTTGTGGCACCAGGGATGTGTTGTGGTTACATTACTGCCAACCCAATCCCAAATACTCACGGAGCTGAGCACTCTGTCCGGATGACTTTAAAAGCAACTTCAGCTCAAACAGCACAAGTGCCACATGGACAGCATGGCAGCGCAGCCGCTCCATGCGGAAAAGAAAGGCAATTGCAGCTTCAAACTGTGCTGTCAGGAATAGGACTTGGAAGTAGAGGAACGGCTGTTGGTTCACTGTAAAGTGCGACTCACCTGGGGAGAGAGGAGAGGAGATAAAACCAACTCAGAAGAAAGGTGCACACTGGTGGCCCATATGTGTTAAAACTACCAGCACCTACATCCCCGGACAGCAGCCCTGTGGGCCTACAGGACTTGCGGGGCAGAAGAAAGCACCAGCCTGAGCCTGAATTGATCAAGGGGGTCCTGAAGACAGTCAACTGCCATGTGAAATGTGACCTGACTCATCCACCTTCTCTAGACCTCATGACTAGAAAGTGTGACTGTGTTGTAAAACTCCAACTGCTTGCATTAGGTGGGACAGACACAGAGTTAAGGACCTTAAAATGGACCACAAAGGGAGTATTCATCTCCTTTACCCTGGTAAGTCACTCAAGGAGATAAATGAAGATTTCAAAGGAGCTTCAGTTTACTCATATTCACAGAAATTTGAATGCAACAACTGCTAACCACTATTTGGAATCTTCTTTTCTTCCCAGTTTTTAAATAAGGGGGGAAAAAGAAGGAAGGCAATTTCTTTCTACTGTGTGCTCAGATCTAGTGACCTGTAAGATCTACTAGGAAGCAACAGCTAAGTCTTCTTTGTCTCTCCCTGAGAAAATGTCTACTAGAACAGTTCAAAGAATTAGAGCAAACAGATTATTGTGTATGACCATATAAGTTTTATGCATTTCTTAAGGCCACATGCCCTTTATTTAAATTTGAAATGGTAATTTTGCTGTGTTTTGCTTTGAAGAGCTACAGGAGTTTTGAAGGAAAGACAGAAGTTCAGGGATGAAAAATTTTCCCAGAGGAAAACTGAAGTACTCATCTTAAGTGGACAAGAGAAGGGAAAGGTGGTTATGTCCAGGATCTTACCATAGTCTTCCAACAACTGTTTCTGGAACTGTGAGAGAGTGAGCCTGTCTTGCGGGGAGCTGGTGCCATCGTCGTCAAAACACACTTGGTTCAACTAAATCCCCAAGAGAAACATGCATTGGTACAAACTACACCCTGAGCCACATGCACAGAGTTGTAGCTGTTCAGCAGCCAGGCTCAATGCCGTCAGCTGGAAGCTGTGTTTAAGGCTATGGTTATGAACTGGGAATTACACAACAAAAAATGGGGCCAGGAGACGAGGAACCTGCTGGTCTTGATCACCTTACTGGCATCATACATTAAGCAGGTAAAAATCTTTGTGGGGACATGAGCACAGAAAAGGGGTAAAGCCCTGCGTGGGCAGGGGAAATAGTGCCTGCCTTCAGCCACAGGTAGTCCTCAGTTTTGTCCGCCACTTCACTCTGGTTGTCAGTGACATCACATCTGCCAATAATGCAGTACACAGCCCGCTTGTAGGGATCGGTATTGTTCCTGAGAGCCCTGCGGTAATGCAGCCGGAGCTTGTTTTCTGTAGCTGGGGACAATCTACAGACATAAGGCAACAGACAGATAGATACACATTCAATAAAGATCCTCAAGGGCATCTGAAAGCGTCCCAGGTCCCAAACACGTAAGAGAGCAGGGAAGCCTTCCTTCATCGGGGCAAGAGACACTGTTTCTGCCACATCCCCTCCCCTCGGTACCACTGCTGTAGCCTGACTTGGAACTACCAGCACCTACATCTATTGGCCTGCCAGTTTTCTGTCTGCTGAGGCTTCACGGGCAGGTCAGAAATGCCAGGGAATTAGAACTCCATTCCACACCCCAGCAGCACTCAAGCAGTAATGAATGGGAGCGAATCCTTCCCTTAACTGTCTTAGCCCCTCTCTGGCTCCACACTCCCTTATTCATGTGAGATCACCTCCTAAATAAACAATTTGCACTCAAATCTCCTTCTGGGGGAACCTTAAGACATTAACCCTACTTTAAACTCTAACTTGAGCAAGACAGGGGCTTGTGGTTTGAGGCAGTCTCTTGACATGACATTATTAATGCTGCCAAGGAAAGTATCCTAGTTTTTTACAAGTACAACTAGAGTAACCAACATTTCTTCTACATACATGTACATATATATAACCTCAGTTTGAGTATGAACTTAAGTCCAATTACATTAGCAAAATACAAAAGAAATTAATGCTTAGCAGTTTCTTAATGTAAGAGAACTTAAAGACTTAACAGATTAATTCAGTGATTACATTTCAATTTTACTAACTTCTAATTCTAGCCTTTAAGCTAAGAAGTACCTGACAACATATTTCCATATTGGGTTGACCAGAAAAAGCACTAAGTGTTAACAAGAAAAGTGTAATTTTTAAAATATCCCATTTTATAAAGCATCCTTGATATGCCTTAGATTTATAGAACAAGTCAAATCATGCTCCTGAACCAGCTCCTTCCTTATAGGAACAGAAACATTCCCAAACACACAGGCATGCATGCCTAGACAGTGTCAGAATGGGGCATTTCTTTTATGGTTTTCACTCCTTATTCCCAAGAGAGTTCTATTTGCTTTCAAAACCTCCTTTTTCCCCCAGGCAGAAACTTGTTTTGGGCCTGTGCAGGGAAAAGAGAATAATGACAGTGAAGGTCACCCCTTCGATTCTGCATGGTTGCCACTGGGCGTGCCACCTTATTCACCATACCTTCTGTCCTTGCTGTTCATGTACTCCTGGAACCAGGTTTTAAACTCTCCCAGCTGGTGCTGGGCTCGATTAACTACCTGTGAAGCAGCAAGCAGGTCTCCACAGCGCATGCAGTAGTAAATCAGTGCCCACACAGGATGGCCTTCCACCTCTCCATCCTAAAAGAGGAATAGTATTTGCTCAAAATCAACAAGGAAAAGCTGAGTGCTTTCATATGTGCTAAAACTGAGCTAAGCCCCTCTTCTTTTTTTTTTTTTTTTTTTTTTTAAGGGGTTTTTCTTTTGTTACCCAGGCTGGAGTGCAATGGCGCGATCTCGGCTC